CCTACATTTTAAACAGAAGCCTAATCATCTTTTAGGAGAGTTAAATATTTTAAAAATTTGGTAAAACCTCAACGTCAAGGGGTTAAAAAGCATCGTATGCTGGGAAACATCTTGAATTCTTATGAGTAATTAATGTGCATGTCAAATGTGAAATTCATATTTCTTCTCAATCAAAAGTTATAATTAAATACAGCATTTTTGAAAAGTAGGTTAGGCTTTAAGGTCAAGGTCACAGAGTCAAAAGTCATGATTTATTTGGAAAGGCTTATCACAGGTAATTATATGCATGCAAGTATAATATGAATGCCTTAACTTCTCCCTTTCAACATGTTCACAATGATGAATTGAAAACAATGTAATTTTTTTGCAAGAAGCTCAAACTTCTAGGTCAAGTAAAAAAAATCATGCCATTATCACAGGTAAATACTGATACATATCTTTAATATGAATGCCTTGTCTCTTCTCATTCAATAGATATGACCTCGATGACCAAGGTTAAATTTACTGAGACAGATGGACAGACTGATATACAAATGTACATATTTCTTTGTGAATTGGGTAAAATTGGCCCATTGGTTCTACAGAAGTTAAAAATGTAAAAAGTTTTCAGACAAACAGAATGGACCACAAGCGATATATATAAGGAAACCAGAAAAGCTCAAATGAGTGGGGGGGGGGGGGGCATTAGTAAATTTAAAAAGGTCCTATTATGAGCAAAACATTTATCAGAATCTAATTAAAATCATTAATTAAATTCAAACTGGTAATGAGGATCTGAGTCATATAGGTTACATGGTCACAGGGTCTGAGAATTTCATACTCAATTTGACGAATACCTGCTCAGTGTAAATTATAGAATTATTTTGACTTTTTACTTGGAATTAAATCCCTATATGTAGGAGTGTGTTTTTAGAGGTAAACACCTTTGTGCGGGTATTACTGTCTCATGACAGCATCTAGTTATCGTTTTGTTAAATATTAAGATCAATATTTTTTTCACACAAGAGCTCCCGTATATTTTCGTGGTGTAAAAGTAATCCGTCAACTGTAACTAAAAGTCAGTGTCTTCGCAAAAGTCCAATATATTTTCAAACATCGAAACAAGTCTATTTTCATTATTTTGACTCTGCAAAAATCTCCGCTAGGGTCCCCGTGTGTTTACACGTTTGTTTATTCATAACCCAGACCAGCAGCAATAGCTTGTGGCTATATATATCCACAGTCTAAAAAGGAAACTAAAATGTCATTGAAGAGATTTTATTTCCGTTTTGAAATACACTCAGCATATTTTGGGGTGTTTTATGCAGGTAGCTTGATATTGTGGCCATTTACTTGTTAAATTTTATAGTGATTTATAAAGGACAAGCTTAACAAGCTTATTGGGGCCGGCTTTTGTGTAAAAAAAACCTGATCAAAGATTGTTACTAATCCATATAGAAATGTTAATGGTGAAAGGTACGATTACAATGTATATTATTTTTTAAGATTTTAATTTTTTTCATTTGTTTGTGGTTTCATTAAGAAAGAGCCCATTATGTAAGCATCCAAAGACCTGAGCACAAATTAATTTCTGACAAAGAATTCAAACAGAAGATAGTTGAAGCAATGACATTATTTTTAAAACCTTGCCTTTTCCCCATGGATTCCTAGTTACCTTAAAGCCTGTCCTTTTCTGAGATAAATGTGATTGTTTAGAGAGATCATATATATCACACATGTATATGTATTTAATATTTACAGATATGAAATAAAGTAGAGGAATATTAAATATGGGTTTATTGTTAAAAATGTTAATACATGTAGCTTAATTACTCAGAGGGATATAAAAAAGGATGATTCTTCAAGGTGGCATATGTTTTCTATAATGTGGTTCTTCATGACAGAGATAAGAAGTTAATATTATTTTCATACATTATATTGATTTTTATAATAATTAATTCCTTTGATTGAGCACATAAAAGTATAGAAGTGTGGATAAACTAGGTCTTTTCAAATATATGAACTTACATTGATCAAGGCAGGGACTTATATACTACTTTCAGTATTCAATTCAAGTTCATATATACAATATTATTTGAGATTCTTAAAACGATGTTTGCCGGGTAAAAGTGTTTCCAATGCGACTTAATGCTCAACTAGTAAGTTACACTTGATTAGTAACTTCTAAGCAAAAGTCAAATTATAAATATTTCAACCTTAAAATTGATCTAATATTCTTTAATTTGAGTTCTTAAATAAACATATACATGTACATATTTCAAACTGACTTTTATAGCCTTTGTATTATATGCTTCCACTGTCGTCTGGGGCGTAGCCGGGGTGCTTTTGATGTGGACGCCCGATTAGGCAGGGGTTCGGGTGTTGACTTTAGGTCCCCCATGGGTCCAGGACAAAGCCGTTGTGGGACCCGAGCGGGCTTTGCCCCCGAAAGTTACTACATTTTCGACGATTTGATGTGCATATTCGACCCTCCCTCCCGGTCGCATATTTTCTTAAATTTGTGTTTGTTACGCGGTCATGTTTGAGGTCTGTTCTGTTTTTACTAAACAATGCGGACAAACATTCAAAAATGTGAAAGAATCTGTCATGTATCGTTGAATGATGAACCCAATGAAAACAAATATAGACTTTTGAAAAGACAAAATACGTGCATGTGTGTGGTAAAATAGTCTGTAAAAGAGGTAGAATGTAATTTGCACTTTGAAAAAAAAAACTCAGCAGTATTCAATATTAAACCAATTTCTGGGAAAATATTATTTTCACCTAAAACCGATTCTTTTAATTTTCAATTTATTTTTTTTTTCTTCTAAATTCCAAGTAATTTTTGTTATTTTAAATTATTTATTTATCGAAAACTGATGTGTAAGCCTTAAGAGCATACAAGCATACAGGGAAATTACGCCTGCCACTTTCTCCTTTTTTTCCAAAAATCCTGTGGACGTTTTTGCGTACTTGTAAACGTACGCCTGGCTAAGCGCCTGGTCGTACCTTCGCCCTAAAAGTGCAATTTAAGGCGCTATGCGAGTGGCTCTAAGGGAACACCATACCAGGTAGACGAAGCTTGTAAAAATCGAAAATGTCGGAAAAGTCTGAAAACGAAGGTCCATCTAAACCTCAATATTTTCAAGAGGATCCTGGCATAACAGACTTGATTTTGATGGTTGAGAACAAAGAAATTCACTTGACAAAAGTAATTCTCATGCGATCCTCTCCAGTTTTCCGGACCATGTTTACTTCTGACTTCAAAGAGTACAATACCATTCCCGGAGAAAAAATATGAAGATTTTGTTCTGTTTCTGCGAAGTTTTTATCCAGGAGAGCATTTAGAGCTAAATGGTTTGTATTTGGGGAAAAAAAAACTTTGAATGAAATGTTTGTTGTACATGTTGTTTTAAGCAGTTTAACATGTTTAAGACGATACAAAGAAAGAGTGCACTAAACATGTTTAATATGTACGGTGGCTTGTATAGGACATGGTATGAGATTTTTTTTTTATTAATTTGAGGCCATGAAATAAAATTTCTGATTGCAAACAACTCTGCCCCTTCAGGAGTACCATTCCTTGTGATGTTGATATTTACAGGCTGTTCTGCAGTATAATGAATGAAAATAAATTTTTATTTCTAAATTCTTTAGATGAAGGATTCTTCTGTTTTAACCATTCATGTAAATTAGTTCAATCTGATTGGTCGAGAAACGTTTGTTAAAAAACACTATTACCCGCTGAATAATGAAGCCACACCCTTCAGCGTAGCAACAGTCAACATTGCTTGACGAAGGGTGATATTCCAAAAAATAGCGACTGCGCAGAATTTATGCGCAGCCGAGGTTGACAATGGTTTTCTTGGGGTGAAAATTTTCAATGTGACACTCAACTACATGCAATATTTATTATATTATACTGATTGTCTTATACAAAAACATATAACAGTGAACCGTGCGAGCATAAATTCTGCGCAGTCACTATTTTTTGGAATATCACCCGTCGTCAAGCAATGTTGACTGTTGCTACGCTGTAGGGCGTGACTTCATTATTCAGCGGGTAATAGTGTTTTTTATCAAATGTTTCTAGACGAATCAGATTCAAGTAATTTACATGAAAGTATAATATATTCACATATTTCACTTTCTTTAAAAATTATTTGCACCATTTGTACACTCCCTCTATTTATACTTTAGTCCTCTATCATGTCTTTCGAAATTATTTGAACAGTACCATAGGACAAACTTAAAGTTTTCATATCGCTCTCTTTTTTGACAAAAGTAAGAAACCATTGAACGTTTCTGCCCGACCTCCTATCGTTCGGGCTTCCTATCCTCTGCAGATCATTCAATGACCCATGACTACCCAAAATCGCTGAAACCATTTATAAACAAGTCTCTAAGGGCATTTTCCCGATTTTGAAGGGAAAAAAGTCATTTAATTTTTAACTAAAGACTAGAAAATGTCTTAATTTTTGTCTTTTAAAATATTGGGCAATTGAACACTTTATAAGATGCTTTTAAATGTGTTTGTCTTTCTTCAATCTAACAATATACACTTTAAAACTTGACGTTTAGTTGTGACGCAGGGACACCCCCTACGTTTAACATGTTTAATGTTTTAAACGTCTATGAAATGAATTCAATTAAACATTATGAAATGAAATTTTTAATTTTGATTAGATTTATTTTTATGCATCTTTTGGTACATAATATTTGATAATGTGATGCCAAATATTACTGATATGAACACGCTGACATTACTTTTGGATCAACCCTCGTAATGGTCATCCTTATTAAACACTGATAAGACAATCTCAGTCTTTAAGTTATCATCTTGGGTCTTTCTGTCAGAAGTGGGAATTATTTTTCTACCTGTCGGAAAGGCTGTGACTGATGATAAGTCATTTGGCATCCTTCTTGAAATAATTTAACCGTAAAACCTTACAAATACATTAACCCCTTTTATTTGTCTTTTAACAGATATAATGAGTAATGCTACTAATATTTTTTTCTAGTTTCAGTAATAGAAAGCATCCTTCCTTTAGCAAGAGAATATGCCATTGATGTCTTGATGAAAAACTGCGAAGAGTGGTTGTTAGTAGATGTTAAAACTCGAACAGAAGATGTTCACTACCAAGCAAAATGCTTCTATCTCGCTGCAGTGTACAATTTTGATGAACTCTACAACAAAATGCTTGAAAAACTGAGAACCGCTGCTGTCAATACTTATGAGAATGTGCCTAGTTTCAAAATGCTTCCATCAGAAGACAAGGCCTGTTTACTTAAAAAACGCTGTGAAGATGTTGAAAAAAATAATGCAGACCTCGAAAAGCAAATTTCAAACATTAAAAATAACATAAATAAATATAGAATCACGTGTACAAAATGTGGCAACCCAACCAACATATCTGAAGGAGACAAAAATAGGCTTTTGTATCAAAACTATTATCCCGAGCCGTCCACGGGAAGATACCGAGTATTTAAAAAAAAGCTGGTGAAAAAGACGGACGGGCAGTTGCCAAAAGGGGCCACCTTTAATAATCTGGATAACTCCTCGTACATGAACCTTTTTGCTTTGTCGATCAATTGTACATATTTCAGAGATGTGCATATTAGTAGGATTTTAACTTTTTTAAATTAAGTTTTGAGAAAAATACCAGATTTTTTTAATGCTTTATTTTTGAAAATTTTCATAAATACAAACAAAAACACACACAAACACACCCTCGCACACCACAGACACCCTGTGCACTTTTCCCAAAATACCAGCTTTCATAACTATACATCTAAAGTGATCATTGGAATTTTTTATGTATGACAAATCAAATCCATTATTTCTCATTTACAATACATTTTTGTTCTTCCATGAAAATTGCTCTCACAATATTTTTCAATTTTCCTGTAATACTTAAAAATGCTAATTGCTTCTGTAAATTTAGGTATAGTACATTGAGTTCTTGAGCAATACAGGTTCTTTTTTCCTAACAAGATGAGAATTTTTTTTTCTTTCCACCCACTTTATCATTGCACTAAAGTCACTCTTTCCTCTTTGGTATATCTACATGGACAACCCCCTCCTTCTTTCTTCTCTCTTTCACTCCCTTCCTTTCTTTTTTCTCTATACCCTCTTCCTTCTTCTCATTTTTTATAATCATTATTGTATATTTGTTGTTGTACACCACGTGTATACAATTTTGTTACTTTGTTTGTGTTGGAGAGGACAATCTACGTTGGCATAACTTGTGTCCAATTTATTAGGATCAATAACATATGTTTAAAACAAATCAGATACGGATTTACATTCATTTTAGATGTAATATATTAACTTTTTTCTGGCTTTTTAACATTAAAAATGAATCAAACTTTTTTTTATATCTGTTTAGAGAAGACAAAATGTAGATTCTCTGAATAAAAGATTCTGGACTTTTAATTGTACAGTTACGGATTATTTATTGTTTTCAGCAAAGCAGCATATGTTTGATTGAGGAAAAAAAATAATCAGTTAAATATCTCTTAAAGTTAATGTGTGATTCTTGGATTCATACAAGGATTTTTCAAGATGTCAAAGACTAAATTTAATTGTCATAAATTGTCAAAAATAACTTGGTGTTATTGTTCTCGAATAGCCAAACAAACACTTTTGAACAAGATGTCTGAAAGAATTGGCATTTTAAGAAGAATAAGATATTTCATGTCAAAAGATGCGCAGTTGAAGATTATATTGCTATGAATTATTCGTTATGTTACATATTGTGGAGCTATCTGTATATAGAGCAATATGAAAATTCAAGATATATTTGAATATGTGCCTCTATCCGATTTATTTTTTTACAAAATTATTTTATAAATAATTACATGAGTTAATCATAATGCCAGATTATTTATATTTGGCCTTTTGACATAAATTGTTTTTAGTGAAAACTTTATCATGTTTTTCTTAAAATTTATTTTCACTATTACATATGTAATAATAAATGTAGAATAAATGATTTTCTCTATGAAGTGGTTTTGTTTGCATTCACTTGTCTTTTTTTCCTTGCAAAACTGACAAAATTAATGTTTGGTAAAAAATTATCTCTTGGGATTGAGCTTCTATTAACCATTGTTTACACATCAATCAATGTGAGAGGATGACTTGTGTATGTGATAAGTACAGAGTGCTGTATTGTTCCCTTGAGATGTGGCTTTTTGCTGAAGTTTTAATTGTGAGATATATCTTGATTTTATTATTTTATGTGTGTGGTTCCTGTGGTTCTCATAGTATTTATTATTAAAACAACAAAATAATTATGTATGACTATATACTGGAGAAAAAGTAGAGAATGATGTCATTGAAGAGATTTTATTTCTGATTTTGAAATAAACTCAGAATATTTTGGTTTTTGTGAAGCAGGTAACTTAATATAGTGACCATTATCTTGTTGAATTTTATTGTGATATACTAAGGACAAACTTAACGTGGCTGGCTTTTGTGTAGAAAAATTGATCAAAAATTGTAAGTAATCCGTATAGAAATGTTAATGGTGAAAGGTACATACATGTACAGCTGTATATTATTGTTTAAGATTTTTTTTAAAAATGGAACATTTTGTATCTTTTTGCTCTGGGAAAATTTATCATATCCTTTTTTCTTTTAATTGTAGTTTCATATTTAAGAAACAGACCAATATGTAAACATCCGAAGACCTGAGCACAAATTAATTTCTGGCAAAGAAATAAAACAGTAATCAGTTGAATCAATGACAGTATTTATAAAACCTTGCCTTTTCCACATGGATTCCTAGTTACCTTAAAGCCTGTCCTTTCTGAGATAAATGTGATTGTTTAGAGAGTTCATATATATCACACATGTATCTGTATTTATTATTTACAGATATGAAATAAAGTAGAGGAATATTATATATGGGTGTGATTTTTATGTGCTAGAGTTATCTAATGTTCATACATGAAGCTTACTCAGAGGTATAAAAAAGGATGATCCTTCAAATTGGCATATGTTTTCTATAATTTGGTTCTTCTTGATAGAGGTAAGAAGTTAATATTATTTTCATATATTACTGTAAACCAACTATTATTCGCGACGACTTTATTTCGCGATTTACCAGTGATAAATTGGTTGGCGACGATTAATTTTCGCGATCAAGCTTTTTTGGATCTTTTATCTATAGACAAATAACACTACAAGGACCGGTTCGCGGCGAGAAATATTCGCGATGACGAGGCTCTCGCGAACTTCGCGAAAATTTCTCGCACGTGAATAAAAGTTGGTTTACAGTATATTGAGTTTTATAATTAGTTCCTTTGATTAAGCACATAAAAAGTATAGAAATGTGGATAAACTGGGTCTTTCTAAATATATGAACTTAAATTGATCAATGCAGGGACCTATATACTACTAAAAGTACATAGATCCCTGATATACATGTTTCTATGGATTCTTTTCTACGTCTATAAAAAACGTCTATATTTGTACAAGTACATAAGTGACTGAAAAATCAGTAATGTCTACTATATTTACACTAAAACAAGATGTGTTTGTGAAACACTATGCGCCCGGCGGCAACAAAGTTCGAAAAAAGCTATTTTTAGCATATAGGCCACAGTTAAGGTCACAAGATCATTGACTTTGGTGTCGTGTGAAAGAACTTAATTAGTGGAGTATGCCTATCAAATATGAAGTCTCTATCTTTCATGGTTCAAAAGTTATGGTGGAGGTTCAAGTTCGAGACAAACAAACAAACAAACAAACAAACAGGACAAAAACAATATACGCCCTGGATCTATCGATCCGGGCGCATAAAAACAGTTTAATGTTAAGTATTAATTAATTTTGCTAGGCAGTTTTAAAACTTATAGAATATGTTGAAATGAATTTTAAGATTCAAGGAACAGTATTTGATCAAAAAAGTCTATTCTAACAATAGTAATCAAGAGCAGAGCAAACACGGAGACCACCAAAGCATCAGAGGTGGGATCAAGTGCCATGCAGGAATAAGCATCCCCTGCCTACCGGTCACACCCGCCGAGAGCTTCTTGTCATGGCGAAAAATAATCAAACGCCAATCCATTGTATAAATATTATTGGTCTAGCAATTAGTATGGAAAACGTTTGTCAGTATTTAAAACATATTATATTTGCTGACAGGTCATTTTATCGATTATAGAACTTACAAAATAATTACTTCAAAAGAGAGTGATATTGATAAGCTTATTTCATCAACTTGAAATTGTTCTTGCGTAGAACATGCTCGTATCAACTGAGAGATACATGTACAAACCGTATATTCAAGTGATACGAATATATTGCTTCATAAGTTGACGAATACACTCGTAAAGCTTTGTTATACATATACTTATAGCTTTGTCATGTTTGTGTCGACATATGAATGTAAATAATTCTATTGTTAATTGATAGAAAAATACTTGAACCATTCATGTGCAAGCTAATGTAAAAGTTGTGATTATGAGCTTTGTTTTGGTTCTGAATGAAAAAAAATATTAAGCCATTGTTTTATCATGGATTTTTAATAAATAGCTTTATATGGATATGGAAGAAAACAATCTGTATTTTCCTGAATCCTTTATAACTATTAGATAAATTGATATAATTATTTTGAGAATGAAATTTTAATAATATTGAATTGAAAAAAACCTATTTTCCATTTTTTTTCTTTTGTTAAATATCTTATTTGATATACTGTATATACATGTACAATGGTTGAAATTTTAAAGTCTATTTTCAGAGCTTTTCCATAGGTTTTAGCGCTATATTACCACCACTTTTAGTCTATTTTTAGCTGTGATCCACTTGATGCATGTATGCGCAAAGTAGTGCGTGTAATGTTTGCTTTATATTTGGAAACCGTCAAATTCTTTTAACATTATATCTAAACAATCAAGCACAGCATGAAGTACATTGTTACATACGCGCTTACACTGAGCGTGATGAACCTACTAAAAGGAGCTAAGTTCTTTTTCCGAACGATGGCTGCAAATTAGAAGAAACGGAGAGACTGCGAGATGAAATAATGAGATTGAAGACTGACATAAATGAACTAAAAAGTTATCATCCCCTTGGTAAGTCTAACTTGTTTAAAATGATTTATTTTTTTTTCTTCTATTTTCAATTATTAATGTATCACCTGACCCCACCTACCTCTTGCATTGTCAGGGATCCATGTTTTATACCGTCTTTGGTTTGTAGATTTTTTAAGATTGGTAGCTGTTTTTGATATCTTTTTATTTAATTATATCTTCACAGAAATATATCGGCATTCCATTTCGATATGAAAATATTTCTTAAAATTACAATATGGTTATGCTTAAAATTTTATCATTTTCAGCACGTTCATTGTCAAATACATAAAAATTAAAATATGAGTAGTAAAAAGAAAGTATATAATTTGTTATAGATGGAAAATTTGTTACGTTTTAAAAAGGATTTTTTCTACATATATATTTAGCCTTTTCAAAGAAACTGTGGATTCTTTCAACTTTCTAAGTAGAAAAGACCCTAAATAGTAAAGAATACTCTGTTTGACGTATTGTATAAACCATAGCAAGTTTACATCAACAGTGCTAAATTGTTCCTTGCTACAAAATCGTCTTTGTTTGTAGGCTCATTATTTAATTCAAATTGTACTTTAAAAGAACTTTATCTGTTTTAATTCTACGTCTGGACATTCAAATTATATTCGCAATTCGCGTTGTAAAGATGAAATTCTTCTAAAATCACAAATCAGTATTTAGGCCAAATACTTTTTTACAGTCAACTAAACTGAGTTTGATCTACTCTACATGTACATATACCGAGTTCCTAAATTTCATAACATCCTTACAAAGAGATATTGCTGGGTCCACCAAATACTCTTTGGGGGACATGAACACAGTTTCAACTGATTTTTTAAAACCAGTTTTGATATTATACAATTCCTTACTAAGGTATTATCTAATGATCAAAATACATCATACATGTACATCATGCAAAGTTATTAACATCATTTGTTGATTAACATACGAAATACAGAATTTTAAGTTCTTCATAATGTAAACAATTAAGGTCCGTGCCTTGTTCTTGATAACATATAGAAAATTTTATTTTAATAACAAAATGAAATTCAGCAAATCACTAGAAACTGTCTAAATGTGCGTAGAACTAGCTTCATTAAAATTATCTTCTTTGAACGAACATATATTAGTATATTAACCTAGGTAAACAGAAATATGACACGGACCCTTTTAACATAACAAAGGTTTGGAACTATAAATTCTGTTTTGTATCTCGACAACCGAAGATCAAATTTTGATGATCATTAAAAAGACCTTCGTTAAGTATTTGTAGAAATGGAAAAATGAATTAGAAATTTTTGAGCTAAAACTGTGTCCATGCCTCTTTAATTAACTCTTTATATATAACAGCTGTAGAATGAGTTAGGGTTAGACGTATTATGCTACAGTTTATTCTAAAATAAGATATATGGCGATAACAGTATTAATTGAAGCTCAAAAAGTCCACTCCAACAATATACATGTCAGAAACAGAGCACACAAAGACCCCTAAAGCAGAGGTTGTATCAGGAGCCGTGGAGGAGTGAGTATCCCTTCCGACCGGTCACATTCGCCGTGTGCTCCTTGTCATGATCGAGAAATAACAGAAAAATCCATCAACAATTCAGCGTGTAAATAATGGCCTAATAATAAACGTGAAAATTGTCAGTCTGCATAGACTAAATGATTCATAGCTAGATTATATTTGCTGAAAAGGTCATTGTACCGACCATAGAACATACGAAAGAATGATATATACGAGACGGTTGATATTCTTGTTTCATCAACTTGTTTGTCATCAAATTACTGCGTTCAAGAAATTGTTCATACATAGAGCATGCTCTTGCGTATCGAATCAACTGATAGATATAAACTCCGTATGCAGGCGATGTAGGTATATTGCTGCATAAGTTAGGGAATTCGACGATTGAAAAGTTAAAGTCATCAAGTTTATACATGAAGCTTTCTTTTTGTATATGAACAACATAACCAAAAATTTTCGATCATGCTTGTGATTTTTATCAACAACCTTACTTTGTTAAAACTAAATCAGTTCTACACACTCTGAAGTTGATATGCAAGAATGCTGAAAGTGTTCTTATTGCCAGTATGATGTACATATGAACATACATGTATGAGTTATAATTGATTATTGTCACCAAAGTCATTATTTAAAAAAAAATCCATGTATGTATTTTGAATTTCTTTTTCTCTAGATAAAAGCTATTCGACAAAAGTTGGCTTTACTGCGTATATTAGTAGTCCACCCCGAGTCAATACAAATGACATTTTGGTATATACAGATGTTAGAAGCAATATTGGAGGCTTATATAATAAGGATACGGGTGTTTTCCAGAGCGACAGACCCGGAATGTTCGTTTTCTTTGTCTCACTCGAGTGCAAGGTTGAAAGTGTACATATTAGTCTCAATATTGACGACAAAAAAGTGGGGGAAACAGCCTGTCTCAGTGAGAATTTGTATAACATTGTATCGTTTTCAGTTGTACATAACTTGTTGAGTGGATCAAAAGTCTCAATAGAAGTAATTGATGCCAAAAACGCTTATATTGCCCAGAAAACAAGTTTTGGGGGTTATTCAGTTTAAATCCCTGAAGTTTCATACTTAGCTCACCAGAGCCGAAGGCTCAAGTGAGCTTTTCTGATCACATTTTGTCCGTAGTCCGTCTGTCAACTTTTCACATTTTCAACTTCTACTCAAAAACCACTGGGCCAATTTTAGCCAAATGTGGTGCAAAGCATCCTTGGGTGAATGGGAGTCTTAATTGTTAAAATAAAGGGTCAATTCCCCTTTCTAAAGGGAGATAATCAAGAAAAGACAAAAATAGGATGGGACCATCAAAAATCTTCTCAAGACCTGTGGGCTAGAAAAGCTGAAACTTATGTAGAAGCATTCTTGGGTAGTGTAGATTCTAAATTGTAAATATCATGACCCCCGGGGTAGGGCTGTGTATTGGTGCCAAGATTTCGATACGATACGATACATTTAAATCCGATATCCGATATATTGTACCTATTTTTAATTTAGTCTTACTTTCTAGAAAATCTGTAATAAACAAAGACACAACTGATTTTTTTTACAGTTTATTTCAAAAAATAACAACATGGACCTATTTGAGTCCATGATCCAAGAGAAAAAGAAGCAGAAAATAAAAAAAGATAACTAGATCAGTATTCATATCATGAATAATTAACAGTCAACATTTTAAAATTTCATATTTTTCTTCAAAAAGACCAATTCATTAATACGTTCTGGACTCAAACAGACCCTCGTTGCAGAAACAATGTCTCCTGTAGTACTAAACACTCTCTCTGAGGCAACAGATGTTGCCTGTACACAAAAGTATGTGCGAGCAAGCCTGGCAAGTTTTGGAAAATAAACTTCATTTTCCTTCCACCATGCTAAGGGGTTTTCTTTCATCGAGGCTGGTTTATGTCCCTTGTAGCTTTCTACCTCTTTTCTTGCTAATTCAGCAGGAGTTATGAATTCTTCACCTGTGACTAAAACCTCATCATCCCCAAACAAAGACTCCAAAGCAGTTCTTGGTACTTTTTGTTCACTAGGTTTTGAAATCTGAAAAGGAATAGAGAATGGGATATCTCATGACAATAAGTGTTGAACTTATGAACTATTGATGCTAATAATTTTATATATTATTTTTTTTTTTACAAAACTATCTTATTTTTAGAATCCATTTACATACTATTTTAGATTCTCTACATACATGTTTTTTTTATATTCTTAATAAATGACATTCAAGATTTTTAGAACCAACAATCATTTGTATTAAATCAAACTTTAATTATTAATATTGAATCATAATAAATTGGCAATGTATTAGCAATTGAAAATCTGAATTAAATTATTAATCAAATGCTAAAATTACAAATTAAATTAACCTCATTATCTGAATCATCCTCAGTTGAACTACCAGACCTGAGGTGATCAGGAATGGTTGGAAGTGCTGGCAGAGGAATGTGATTTACTTGTGGAATGTTGACTGGTCTCACTGGTCTAGCATCTGCCTCTGTCTTGATTGCATTAACATTTAAGTCCATCACAGACAACTTGTCTTCCAGTCTTTCCCAAGTTTCTGCTTGAATACATGGCTTGCCTTTGGTTCGTGGATCCAAAGCACTGGATTCCTCTAAAAACATTCGCACATTATTGTCAGTATATCGTGTTGCAAGATTCTGTCCAACAGCATTTTTCAATGTTAATATGAAATCAGAATCCCCTTCCTTTCTCTCAAAATGATGCAGTAGTTTTCCCAGCAGGGGCAAAATCAGTCCAGAGGTAGGAGTAGATGAAACACACCCTTTAATCCTGGTTTAATGGTGGCTTATACATGTAGATCCTTAATGATGGTTTAATGGTTGTCTTTAAGTCACCATTAAGCACCTTTAATTAACATTTACACCACCATTGAGTTACCATTAAACCATCTAAAAGTCCTTAATGGGTGCTTAAATGTAGCTTAATGGTAGCTTAATGGTGGCTTACAGGCCCTAATGGTAGCTTTTAGACCACCATTAAGTCACCATTAAGCTACCATTAAGCCACACTTACAGGTGCTTAATGTCCAAACTCTATTAAGCTACCATTAAGCTACCAATAAGCTACCATTAAGCCACCATTACGCAGTCGATAATACTGTTTTTATGGCTGAAAAATTATTTTTATAGCGATTTATTATCAAAATTATAAATGTCGAGTTCACACATATCTTGATTTGGTAAAAATAATGAAAAAGAACGAAATGCAAAATTAAAAAAAAAAAGAAAAATTGCCGCAAGTTGGGCGCGAACCCTTGACCTTTGGAGTAGATGGCAGTCACCTTATCCATTAGGATATCACCGCTCATGAATTTGAATGAAAATTTTAAACCTTTATTGTTCACAAAATTTATTTTGACTTGTAAAAGTATTCATTTTGTTGAACGTTTCCAAAGTCTTGAACTGATTTTTCAATCAAAATATAAACAATTTTATTTATGGGTCTTTTTAAAAGGCTTATATCACATTAATATTTCTAAACCGTTGAGTTCCGCTTTTAGATTGATGTAATGAATTCTTCGCTCTGTTATTCGAAGATTTATACATGTAAGCATTAAATCATGATTGAAATTAGATAAAGCACAAAATCTATCATCGAAACACAGGTACTTGTGGACAGGACACCCCCCCCCCCTATTTACACCCCTGGTCAAAATATTTTTTTTTCTTTTTTTTGTCATGAATTATGTTTCTAGTACTTATTTACAACGTATTCCATATGAAAAATCCAAAAAATAACATAGATTTAACGATTTACTAAAAAAGTCATACCCTGGTATTATAAAATAGAGAAGGTAGGTCACTTCGGTTGTTTACATCGGACCCCTCTTGAATATCAGGCCTAAAATATCATATACCTAGTACATGTCACCAAAATGTGTCATGATATCTTGTTTTGGTAGAAATTTTTGTCTTTAATCGTGCCATTTAATTGCCGAGACATTCCCCAATTATCCGAGTATTCAGCGTCAAACATGAAAATTTGGAAATGTCAAACCAGACCAGAAATTACGGAAGTGATCCAAAAACGACACCTAGCGGGTACTTTCGAGTTCCGAGTGTCATAGAATAAAGGGAAAAGTCAGAGGACTACGAAAAAGTTCGGAAAAATTTTGAATTAAAAGAAGTCGAAATCGATTCATTAGAATTTAAATTTAAGCGACGGCTTAAAGGTGGTGTTTCGTCCTGTGAGCATTTTCATCAAGAGAAATAACTAATTTTACACAGTGTACTTTCTAAACAAGAACAAGTCAGTAGCATTTCTCGATACATGTATTTTACATGTTCTAAGTTGAGTTCAAATTCTAAGATTTCAGCAACATGATTAATTAGTTAAATATGTATACATGTACAAATAAACAACATAATTAAGTCATGTTCTTGTATAAAAAATACCATATGATATGGAAATGTCCAAATCAAAATTGAAAAATTTGCAGTAACATTTGTCATGTATTCTTTATTGTAAATTTATAAAAAAAAAATCAAGTTATTTTGATTACAAATACATATACCTAGAGCATATTTTAAAAATAAATAATTATGAAATCCCAAAGGATATTGTCTCGATATAACAAACAAAAGCTACATATATGTACATGTATATAGTTTTTCATAAAAAGCTAACATGTTTTGAAATATAAAATGTGAATACGTTTTAAATTTGATATTGTATATTCAAACTGATATTCTGGCATACAAATAAGAATACGAAGTCTTAACATGTACATGTATTATTCAGCCAAGATTGTGTAGATCCTTCCCATTTCATATTTATTCCATATATTTCCTTATTATTTCTTCTTTCTCTTTCAATTTTTAGCTCACCTGAGCCGAAGGCTCAAGTGAGCTTTTCTGATCACATTTTGTCCGCCGTCCGTCTGTCCGTCCGTAAACTTTTCACATTTTCGATTTCTTCTCAAGAACCACTGGGCCAATTTTGACCAAACTTGATACAAAGCATCCTTAGGTGAAGGGGAGTTTAAATTGTTAAAATAAAGGGCCAAGTCCCCTTACAAGGGGAGATAATCAAGAAAAGACAAAAATAGGGTGGGGTCATTCAAAAATCTTCTTCTCAAGAACCACTGGGCCAGGAAAGCTGAAACTTATGTGGAAGTATCCTTGGGTAATGTATATATTAAATTGTTAAAATCCTGACCCCCAGGGGTTGGGCGTGGCCATAATAGGGAATCCAAATTTCACATAGAAATGTATAGAACAAATCTTTAAAAATCTTCTTCCCAAGAACCACTGGGCCAGGAAAGCTGAAACTTATGTGAAAGCATCCTTGGGTAGTGTAGATATTAAATTGTTAATATCATGACCCCTGGGGGTAGGGCATGGTTGCAATAGGGAATACAAATTTTGCATAGAAATGTATAGAACAAATCTTTAAAAATCTTCTTCTCAAGAACCACTGGGCCAGGAAAGCTGAAAGTTATGTGGAAACATCCTTGGGTAGTGTAGATATTAAATTGTTAAAATCATGACCTCCGGGGGTAGGGGAAAGCTGAAACTTATGTGGAAACATCCTTGGGTGGGTAGTGTAGATATTAAATTGTTAAAATCATGACCCCCGGGGGTAGGGCGGGGCCACAATAGGGAAGCCAAGTTTTACATAGAAATGTATAGAACAAATCTTTAAACATCTTCTTCTCAAGAACCACTGGGCCAGGAAAGCTGAAACTTATGTGAAAGCATCCTTGAGTAGTGTAGATATTAAATTGTTCAAATCATGACCCCCGGGGGTAGGGCGGGGCCACAATAGGGAAGCCAAGTTTTACATAGAAATGTATAGAACAAATCTTTAAAAATCTTCTTCTCAAGAACCACTGGGCCAGGAAAGCTGAAACTTATGTGAAAGCATCCTTGGGTAGTGTAGATATTAAATTGTTAAAATCATGACCCCCGGGGGTAGGGCGGGGCCACAATAGGGAAGCCAAGTTTTACATAGAAATGTATAGAACAAATCTTTAAAAATCTTCTTCCCAAGAACCACTGGGCCAGGAAAGCTGAAACTTATGTGAAAGCATCCTTGGGTAGTGTAGATATTAAATTGTTAAAATCATGACCCCTGGGGGTAGGGCGGGGCCACAATAGGGAATCCAAGTTTTACATAGAAATGTATAGAACAAATCTTCAAAAATCTTCTTCTCAAGAACCACTGGGCCAGGAAAGCTGAAAATTATGTGGAAACATCCTTGGGTAGTGTAGATATTAAATTGTTAAAATCATGACCTCCGGGGGTAGGGGAAAGCTGAAACTTATGTGGAAACATCCTTGGGTAGTGTAGATATTAAATTGTTAAAATCATGACCCCCGGGGGTAGGGCGGGGCCACAATAGGGAATCCAAGTTTTACATAGAAATGTATAGAATAAATCTTTAAACATCTTCTTCTCAAGAACCACTGGTCCAGGAAAGCTGAAACTTATGTGGAAACATCCTTGGGTAGTGTAGATATTAAATTGTTAAAATCATGACCCCCGGGGGTAGGGCGGGGCCACAATAGGGAATCCAAGTTTTACATAGAAATGTATAGAACAAATCTTTAAAAAATCTTCTTCTCAAGAACCACTGATCCATGAAGGCTGAAACTTATGTGGAAGCATCCTGATGTAGAGTAGATATTAAATCTAAGATATTAATAAAAAGTATAACATTTATATTTTTACACGACCTATAATGCTACATATGGATGTAGTAATAATATAGTCAAGTTGCCTGTCTGGTATATTCATACCCCCATTTGAAAAGTGGGGGGGGGGGGTATATAATAATCGGTATGTCCGTCCGTCTGTGTGATACTTTTTGGGCCACCCATCTCTTATACGCAAGTCCTCTCATACCACTGAATGTAACGTGAGATGAAACTTTCACAGAATCTTTATTACATATTGCCATTGTGTACCTCATATTTTACCCTTTTGATCCGACACATATTTTAAGTACTACTTCTTGTAAGTAGAGGCTTACTAGTACTGTAGTGTATATAAGTTTGATTTTAGATTAGTAATTATCTGAATAATGACAGAACTGTTTGAAAACTACTGGCTTTTGGATTAACAACATTTAAACGCAAAGATAGCAGAAGAAAAGCGTTTTTTCTGGATTTCTTACATAATTAGATAATACTGAAAAGATAACATATAGATGCCTGGTAACTTGACACAATTTACAATTGTTTCAAGTTCAAGGTCTTTCCTGTTGACATATTACGAGGGTTGATCAAAAAGTTCGAGGAATTTCTCTCTAAAATTTTTACAAGTTTTTGATGAAAGCAAACAATTGACATATTTGTAATAAGGTGTCATTATGTTACCCTTCTAGAAAATTTATACCACGTTCCAATTACCAATGAGTTCACACGAACTTTCTGAAAATGGATATTTGTGTTAAAAGAACACCTCACCCATACTAGTATGTAACTAAGTATTTCTATAAAATGGTGTTTCTTTCTCATTTTTCTCAAGAAAAGCCTGGATATCCTCTCAGATATGTCAGAACCCCAGGATATCTAGAAGTCATATTTACAGGTCCCGCAACTTCGAGATACTGATATGTCACTGGATGCAATATGTTGTTGGGCAGTTTTAAAACATATGAAATATAGTGAGATAAATATAAAGATTCAGAGAACTGTATTCGAAATCAAAGAAGTCTATTCCAGCAAATTGAATACAAATCAGGAGCAGAATGAAACAGACCTTT